TCGACGTCTGCGTGGTGACCTCATTGAAGTATATAAGGATATTCATGGATTATGCAAGGTCCCAGAAAGATTATTAGAATTTGAAACAAGAACCAACACCAGGGGCCACGGCTATAAACAAAAAAAAATATAACTCAGTACTCACTGCAGTGAGTGACAGAGAGCGCATTTTCTCGTCGACGAAAACGTGAAGTCACGGACGGACAGACAGACGGACATGGCGAGCACAATAGTGCATTTTTTCATAAATGAGAAAATGCGCTAAAAACTGCGTTGCAACTCATCCGCGCGACAACATTTCTTCTCGCTTCGAATCAACGAAATGTGGAACCGCCTCCCCGACTACATCATTGACGCTCCGAGTATAAACGCGTTCAGTTATTTCAGCTCTTTCAAACTATCGTCCGTTTGAAAAAGATTCGGTCGAAAGACATGTTTTCAGATCTCCTGTGGACTATTCTCGAAAAGTACAAGAATCGGTGACAGGCCGCATCAGGCCTATTCTTCAGCGCCGACTTCACTATATTATGTTATATGTTGCCCGCTCTCCCGCTACAATTCTTTTAAGTTAACGGAATTGGCACGTGATTATAACCTTGCAGAATCGAAATTATTATTATGAGCTTGCTAATACTAAAATCTGATTATGTGCTTGTTGGATAGAATATGAATACAAGCTTGCAGAATAAAAAAGATTAAAAACTAGTAGAATCGAGAAAACGATTACAAGTGTAACCGGAAAAACCGCCTCGAGGTTGAAATATTAACGGGTAGTGTGCCGACTTATTGGTGTAGACTTTCGTACTGATTCCAAACACAAGGGCTTAAGAGTCGCTCTTTGGTCCGGCTCCAAATTCCCTTGCGTTGGAGAGAGGAGGAATGAACACAAGGATCTAGTCGTAGTATACTGGTAATCTTCAGGCAAATTACAAGTCTCTTCATACGAGGCGCACAATTTATCATTCGTCTTAAGCCCCTTACAGGGCAGTAGATACTGCGCGCATCAAAAATGCCGCGGCAGTATTTACATCGCAATCTTTCACACGAGCCGCTTTTAACTGCTGGGATCTATCAGTCTTGCAGTGCTTTATGCTTCATCAGACCATCTCTATGTTTGTGTAACAATATTTCTACATGGAAATCTATCTCTACGTGAGAATAATGTAAATACATCTCTATGGAAATACCTATATATTTTATGGAAAATATATCTTATATGTAATATATCTCTATCACTTCAAGGATATCTATATTTATAAATGTATATCTTTATGTTTAATTAACATTATTTATGTACCGATATTTATGTAATAATATTATGCTATAATCTATGTCATGCAGTGCTGTTTATTATGAACCTAAAATACGGCACCACTGTCTGCTAGGATGTGCCGATGTGGCGTCAAAAACCACCCAGTGTGAAAGATTACATTGACTACCATAGCAAGCTAAACTGTCGCGGCAAATCTACCGCCGCTGTTTTAGCGCGACACCCACTGGCGTCAGGCGTCAAGTTCTACGCCGCAGTAAATGCAGTCGTGTGCGACTGCACAGTGCACAGTGCACATTTCGTATGTCCGCTAAGGTTCGGCAGTAAATACTGTCGGACGCTGGCAGTATTTACCGCCGAACCTTAGCGGACATACGAAATGTGCACTACTGTTCACACACGACGTCTTTTAATACGGCGTAGAATTTGACGCCTGACGCCGGCGTCTGTCCTGCTAAAACTGCGGCGGTAGATTTGCCGCGACAGTTTAGCTTGCAATGGTATTCAATGTAATCTTTCACACTGGACGGTTTTTGACGCCGCATCCTAGCAGACAGTGGGGCCGTATTTTAGGTGCATAATAAACAGCACTACAAGACTGATAGATTAAAGACTGATATTGTTACATATATATCGGTACATAAATATTGTTACATAAACATAAAGATATACATTGATAAATATATATTTCCTTAAAGTGATAGAGATATATTTCATAAAAGATATATTTCCCATAAAATATATAGGTATTTCCATAAAGATGTATTTACATTATTCTCACATAGATATATTTCCATATAGAAATATTGTTACATAAACATAGAGATGGACTGATGGTGCATAAAGCACTGCAAGACTGATAGATCACAGCAGTAAAAAGCGCCTCGTGTGAAAGATTGCGCGGTAAATACTACCGCGGCATTTTTGACGCGCGCAGTATCTACTACCCTGTGTGAGAGGGGCTTAAGTCCAAAAGTTCACGAAAAAAAGCTTGGCACTTCAGGAGTACAAACAGCCGAGAAACCACACAGTATGGGCCCCAATGCACAGTCTGGCTGCTTGCAAAGCAAATAGCTTGGGCTTTCCGATTTTAATAAAAAGTTGCCACCTAGACGTCAATGAGGATGGATGTAACCGAATTTGAGCTGTGGGCCATTGTTCTCGGGTGTGCTGCGGTCCGTCATTCTTCGCACTATGCCTGTTGTAAACGAGAATTTAGCATAGGCATCATAATTAGAGAACTAGCACATTCAAAAAGATACAGTTTATAAAAAATATAGTATATTCTTAAATAAAAAGTTCCAATATTCGTACTGATATTATATCATTCTTTGAAATCGCTGAACGGTAATGCATAAATTGTCAGGAGTTGCTAAAATCACATAAACTAAACACGTCATGTAAAAATAACTTACATCATTTGCATTTCGATTTTTGTACTCCTCTGACCGAACACTCCATAGGCATTCGTGTTCTCTATAAAGATCAATTAGGCGCTCTACTAGAGAGTGACTCCAAACGAGAGTGGTGTTTGTCGACAATTGGTGTGCCGGACCAGCGTACGCAATCAACCTTACTAGACCACAGACAGCTATCTACTAAGAATTTAAAAGCAAAGAATAGCCCACAAAAATTCATATCTTTATAGGAAACGTTTCGGAGACCAGCAGCAGCTCCATCGTCAGTTCGTAGAATCTAGAATCACAAATTAATACATTGAAACCATAGAACGAATTGAATTTCTTTAATTAATTAATTTAGATTTTTATTTTATTTTAAATTTTTAATTTAATTTAAATTCTTAGTTAATTTGCGATTTAAGCACACAAGTGATATCAATTCTTTAATAGCTATCTACTAAGCGCCGCGCTTGTGTTGCATGAGGCATGGCCCCTGTCAATCGCTAGCTCGTCAATCGGTCAAGAAGCGCATGCAGAGGCTGCAAAGCGCCTCTGCATGCGCTTTGAGGCACTTGATTCTCGTGTGTTGCCCCTAGTGTAAACGGGCCTTAATGGAAGTCCGAGATGCTGTCATCTCGAATGGTGAGATCTGTAGTAATTCCGTGAGCATTATTAGAATAAAAGAGTATTTTTATACGTCTTAATGTCCTAATTATGTACAATTTACCTGTGAACCTTGTCTGATTTACAACGACAAATACAATAATTATAAGTAAACATAATCGATATCGTATGCCAGTTAATCATGGCCAGTTTTAATAAATATAATATTCGATAGATTTGATAATAATTTTATGTTCTAATATTAACAATTATGAATATAAAAATTACGATAGTCCACGCCCAGAGATTCCTCTAAGAATCTCACCCCGAGCCCTCTGGCAATATCGTTAGAGTTTGGAACCCAGCAAAAAGTCTTTATTTTTTGCCGCGTCCCGAATAAGTCGTGCTTCTTGTGTGCTGTGTTAAAAATTAACCCACTGGGTGAATAATGATCAGAGTGTTAAATTTAGAAATTGTTTCATGATCATCATGAAGAAGTGTATTCATTCTGTCGTTTATAGTTGATTGATATGAATTTTGTCATGTTTTCATGCCGACTCAGCTTAGGGGCTACAGTAGTGCTACCACAGAGCCACTGCCTCATTATGCTGACTCACAATAATGTATACGCTCATAATATGAGTATCAACTTAATTATTATTCAGGTCATTGCAGCAACTGAATAATAAGATATTCAGAATAATTAATTGCAATTAGATATTCAGGTTGATTTTACTGAGTAAATTAGACAAAATTGAAATAATGTAGGTCATGAATTAACCTGATATGTAAATCTTGGTGTTAAATTCCGGTTAGGGTTTCTTACTGAATTGAGCGATGCTTGTGAATTAACCTGATTCATTCAAAATGCTCCAGTTAATCTTGATATAGAATCTTATTGTGACAGTGAATCATGATTGTGTGGACCAATCTGAATATTTAGGCTAATTGAGTGAACCAGTGATAACCAATGTATATCCTACGATTTTAGTTTTAGAATAGAAAACATAGAATAGAAGTGTCGGAACTGAAGAAATAGGCCCATGGCCTGTTGCCGATTCTTGAATTTTTCGTGACTTGATTCACAGGGGATCCGGCCTTTGGAACCCGATCTTTCCATAACTGACGATTGATTGAGATGCCTGCGGGACTTATTGCCTGGTCCGTAATTTGCTAGGCATTTTAAGACTGAACATATGCTCCTGCATGCATAGCTTCGTCTAGTGACTCTAGTCTGTTCCTGAAGGCGTTCATACTCGGAACGTCACAGATGCTCCGAGTTTCAAGTGCATTCAATCTAGTTTTAAGTGCATTCAACTGATTTAAAAATTTCGCAGGTCTCGCTCGGACAATTTTATTTTACATTTAACACAATCTTGTTTGGATACATTCTCTACATTATCTCGTACGTATACATCACAATTGACATTGCCTTGTCTGTACACATAATCTCGTTTGTACATTAGCGAACTGTTGCGCAGCTCCCCACATTGTTTTCTTGACTGACTACCAGAATAAACAAAAAAATTGGGATTTCCCCCTTTTTATTTTCCTGGATGTCAGCCGAAGGTTAAACAACGCTTAACTTCCAGTGATCCAGTCTTGCTTAGTTTCCTGCTGCCATGCATGGACGTCGGTGCAAGCACAACACGGAGCATTCACAGTCGCTCATGATGCTTGTTCGTGACGTTAATAGTTACACACCAGCAGAATGACAAGCGATATTGCCCAACTGTCCGCAGAGTATTTCATGTATTCAGTGTAATATAATGACTATGTAATGATTGTATTTTGTGTGATGACTATGTATAATTTGTATTTTGTGTAATGACTATGTATAAGTAAATCACGGGAACACCCAGTGAATAAATATTCTATTCAGGAGCAAATTTCTTTTGTAATATAGAAGTCTGCAGACGAACGATTATATTTTAGACGAACTATTCTTTAGTTGATGAAATGCTGATTGATTTTTTTTGCAGATTTTTCCATCACATAAGAATTTTACTCCAGATTTTTAGAGCAATCAAATTCGCGCCAATTCCAAAAATCCTAATTCATAATGAATTTCTATGAACACTTCAAGACTTGGGAAATAGATTTGTTGCGCTTGTGAACGGCGTGAGACTTTATGCATTTATTTATCAGTGTACAGCACCTTCTATATATTTACAAAATCTTTTCTCTAAAAAATGGGGCTAACATACCTGAACGTATCAGATCAGAGAAGTTTGTGATCGTTTGCCGTATCATTCATTGAAACAATATTTTTATCTTTTTTACATATGATATGGACGAATAAAACTAAGATACTGGTACTGAATTATGCAAATTTTTGAGACAACAACCTTCTCTTCTTTTTCTGATTCATTAAGTGGCTCGTTGTACGTAGAAATTAAACTCTAACGATCAGTTTTATTCGTACGCATCTGGAAAATCATCATCATGAAAGAATCAAAGAGCAGCAGTAGTCACCAGCGCCTGTTTGTGCGTCTCAAAACTCGTCTTCAGTTCGACAACGACTTCAAACTAATGGCGGTGCTCACGGTGGCATCGTTAGTTTTATCCACGATTTTGATCTATAAATACTGCATCAAAGATCCGTGAGTAATGCTGACGTTAACAATTTTCATAGTGGGCAGTTTAGCTCATTTATTTGACGCAACTCGTGCCAATATACTGGGATGAGAAGCCGGCAAACTTGGGGTATTTGTGAATTTTATGTGAATTTGTGAATTTAACTCAACTTATGATAACTGACCTCTGGGTAACTCACTTCAAGGTAACTCACCTCAGGTAACTCACCTCAGGGTAACTCACCTCAGGGTAACTCACCTCATGTTAACTCACCTCAGGGTAACTCACCTCAGGGTAACTCATCTCTCGCCTATCTGTAGAATGAGCAGGCAAGTCACTTGGATTATTTATTATTCATATCCCGCAATTATCTCATAGGTGAAATCATTCCAAACAATTCATTTCAATTGACTGTTGTTGACCATTTACCTAATAATTACATTGTTAAATATTTAAAATGGCTAAATTAAAGAAACTATGTATGTGAAAAGATGACAAAATGTGCCTATAAATTGGTTGGATGGATTTTGAACAGATTTATACCCCGACTCAGGAATGCATATAAAAACCGTCGTACTTTTTTCTTATGTTGACCGCTCGAAGGTTCAGGCGATTAATTTTAATTATTTCTGAATTTTAATATTTCACAATACGTGCTTTGCTAAAGAATTCAGTTGGAATTTGCTACTTTTGCGACTCAAACAATATAGCTAAACATTGAAACTAATTTCTGCTGCCGAGAATTTTAAATTATTCGAAAATAACTCGACTAATCAACCTGAATTAACATGGTCCGCAGAATTAAAAATTCGGCCGGACCAGAAGCTAAAAAACTTGCCCACCAGTGTGCCAAAAAACGCTGTCAGTTCGGGGCTCAAGGGCAGTTCTTGCACTTCTTGAACTGGTCAGACTTGCATGACCTTGTACAAGGGACGCAAACCATTGATCGAGCCTCAACAGTCGCTGAAAATATTTAAAAAAATACATAGTAGAATATCAACATAATTTGAAATTAATACCGATTATTTTAAACTTGTTTGAACTCGTAAATGCGCCGGTTTGTTAGCATTTAAATGTCCACCATTTGCAAGGACTTTTTCTTTGATGGTATGAATTGACTTGGACTTCAAGTTTGTTCAATCCATATTGGATAACCATGACAGTATATTTAATAACGCTCCTGTTTGATCGCTATGTGGACTATAAATGGATAAATACTAGTATCATTACCAAATATGTGCTAATGGAACAGTGTTAGAAGCTATAAATAAATTTGTATGAAATACATAATTTAGGAACAATCCAAATCATCTGAAAATCCATCCATAAATAAATATCATATGAATAATGAAAAAAAAAACATTTTAACGATAAATACTTCCTCCTTGTTACACTAAATTCTAACGCTCTGTTGTCCCTGACAGGAACGTCACAGTATTAACTTTAAAGGGCCTCCAACCTATTCCAGGTGAGTCAATATCATTTATACGTAAAAAGTGTTTGACTCGGAACATTCCCAGCAAATAATTTAGCAGACCATTCCAATAAGGCATTCAGCTATTAAATATTAAGAAATTGAATGAATTTAATTATTAAGAAATTTAATATTAAATTTTGAATGAAGAATGTCAGATGAGCGATGAACGTTTCAGGCGATAGCGGTAAATACGCCGTGGATTACGAAAATATTCAGCCGAGCTGGACGGACTTCTACGCCTACATCAGAGAAACAGTCGATGCTTGTCGGAATGTGGTGAATATTGCTTTATAATTACCATTATAAAAGTTTTTACATGAAATGTGCATTGCCTGTCTGAAGCTGAATCTGGTTTTGTGGGCTTATATGATTCTTTTCATGCACGCAATAATAACTTAGAAAAAAGACTTTTTGGAGAGGGTCTGAAATGAAAAAAAGGGTTATTTGCAAAGCAGTAAATCTAATAAATGATTGCATTATCTATCAGGCGTAAATTGAAATATGTTATCATATATACCGATTATTTCTGGCAGGCCATCTTTTTGAGTTTTGCCGGCGTTACGACTGAGAGGAATATTCTCTAGAAAATCATTGTCGTCGCCTTGCAAGACTGCATGACTGCATGAGTGACATGTAGTAGTGGCAGTTTCTATGATTATGCCGGCAAAATTCTTGCAAATGGGAAATTTTTTGCAAATGTCTTCATAATCTTTGAATAGAGAGTGAGAATAATTTATTTTTGGCTTGGAAACAAATTGACTCTCTAAGGTTGGCCTCAATATTCCACCAGAAACAATTTGGCGGCCAAGACAATCATTTCATAGTGGGAACTGACGGAAATTATAAAGTGTGTCTGGACGAGGGCGTCGCGCCCACTCCAGGCTCCTGCACCGTCCTCTCCTTCGGCATCAACAATGAGTGGAGCTTTGACGACGCCATGGAGGAGTACGGCTGTGATGTAAGTTTCCAGATAAGTTATTTGAGAAAACAAAGGCGGGAAATAGAACAGCTGGTGAGGCTTCAACATACCTATGGGTTTCAACGTCCCTGTATTTACATTTAAATTTTAAGGCTTTTCATGATGGCCAATGAGTTGTACGTTTCATTTTGGCTGTAAAGCTTCAATATGAATAATCTAACTGCAGTCAGAAGAAGCTTTAACTATGTCAAAGAGCTTCAACATTATATATAAAGAAAAGATAATCATCAGCGATTGCAATTAAAGCAGAATTTTTCAGCACATCAACTCTTATTCTTCTTTAGCTGTAGTTTCCGCTACTAAGGCAATCTCGTGTAGGTTTGTCCACAATATATTCAATCAAATCTATTTAAAATGGCATCAACGTACGGTTTTCGGTGGTTTCCAGAAAATAAATGAATCATTTGCACATTAATCACTGCATGCATGGAATTGAAGTACTTATAACATTACAAAACAACTACTGTTCCAATTTAAAATTGTCCAAACGGTTTGTATGGATGAAGTCAAGCTGTGTAGGTTTGTATGAACTTAACTTAAATTATTTCCTCCTGCCTTAGGTGTACTCCTTCGACCCCACCATGAGCGACCCCGAGCACATCCGAGGCAAGAGGGTTCACTTCTACCCTCTGGGCCTCGGCGGTGTCACCCAAGAAGTCGATATTCTCCTCTCCAAGTCAATATTTTCTGCTAAATGTCAGGCGAGCTACCACCGACGTAAAATACAAATGATATTATAGAGGTTTATGCGTAGAGGTGTACCAAAATATCATACACATATGATTTCTCATATAAAGGATATTACAACAAATTGAGCAATGTGAAGTGTGCTATTGCCGGAATTTATGTTCGAAATGGATCTTATAATGGACGTGTAATTTAGCAGCAACGTTTTCACAGCTCTAAAATGATGATCCTGAACCTTCCCATAAAATTATATTAGACTCTAAAATGGCAAGAAAAGCCTTTGAGCCTTAACAATTTTTTCTTGTAAGACTAAAAAAGATTCGATGGCGATGGAGCAGGTTTTCTCACAGTACATAAAAGTTCTGGTTACTTTGAGCCTTATTAAAAATGTATGATATCTGAATAGTTATTTGAATCGTGTAACAAGAACTAAGCATTCACGTTCATGCAATTTGTTGTAACAAGTAACAAGCTGAACTGTTGTCGCGTTCGTAAAAAAGTTGAAATCTCTTTACTAATCAATTAGCTTCACACTAACCACGACATCACGGCAATGATCGGTGAGACAACGAGCTCTCTAAACGTTCATTCAAATACTAGCAACGATCAACAGGATGAGCTAGCTAATCGTCTGACCATTGATAGTGCAGGTCCTCACCTACCGCAACAAACTAGCAACGATCGCTAGGATAAGCTATCTAGTCGTTTGTTCCTTGATCGTGCAAGTCCTCTCCTTCCGCAACATCCTAGAAACGATCGATAGGATGAGCTATCCAATCATCTGTTCATTGATCGTGCAGGTCCTCACCTACCGCAACATCCTAGCAACGATCGACAGGATGAGCTAGCTAATCGTTTGTTCATTGATCGTGCAGGTGCTCACCTATCGTGACATCCTAGCAAAGATCGGCAAGACGAACTCAGTTATCGACTACTTGAAGGTCGACATCGAGGGCTTCGAGATTGACTTCCTAGAGAACGTGCTCTACGACGATCAGGAACTACTCTTTAGAATCAAGCAGATCGGCATGGAACTACACCCAAGTGAGTTAAATTTCTCAGCTTGCTTTGTATGAACCGCTATATCAGAATTATTTATAATCGTAAGATTTCCATTGATTTTCCGCCAAAAGTTGATTTGTAAGGCAAAATCAGTACATTATTGACTGGTTGCCTGTTTGGTTAAGGTCGTCCTAATTGGATCAAGGATTAAGTTTCTCAGAATTAATTCAATTATACATAGATTTATCACGATAAAATTCAATTATTTATCCTTCAAAAAGCACGTATAAAAAGTGAGGATACTTTATTTCTAATTGTGTGCTAAAACAATGAGTTGTCTGAGGTTTTCCCTTCATGATTTTTTTTCAGCGGTTTTCGCAAGTGAAAATACGTCGGTGAGAAAGCAGAAGTACTGGCGGCTCGTCCACAAGCTGCGAAGTTTAGGTTTCACACCGATATTCGGTGAGCCCATTCCTGTATGGCTCCTCTCATACACGTACGATGGAAAAACAGAATCACTTTGTTGTTATGAAATGGTATGGATTAATAACCGCTTTGTGAAGAAATGAGTTTTTATTCAAAGTTTCTAACAACACAATTTATATGAGACATTTCGTATTATTGTTATGAGCATAAGGGTAAGAATCACGAATGCAAGTCATTAGGGATGATACTAATAGAAGCATGGTACACGCAACAAAATATGTAACGGGTAATGCATAACAAGCTTGTTCAATTTCATTTTTTCATAATGCGCAATTTGCCGCGTTTAAATGAAAATGATGACTAAAGCGTATCTAATTCTTCATTGTTACCTCTTCATGTGACAACCACCACTTCATAGCATGTGAACTCTCTTAAAATTACAGCAAATTTCACGATTACACTCGGGTTCTCTTATTGGCTGTGGGAGTTCAAATGAAAGCTTAACACGGCATAGGTGTCAAGACCATAAATTGCCTTATATGGCTGCAAGCAAAGCGATGTAGGATTTTAATGCGCGAGCAAAAAAAAAATCTAGTTGAAATGATGGTAATTCACTTTCATAAAAATCTCTCAGTCTTGATCAATTTAATAGAATGACTTTGCTGAATGCAAAATTGTCGTGTTTAGAACACACAAGAGTATTTTATTATTTTTTCAATGTCAAAAAGTTTCAGGATCAGTGTTAATTTAAGAAATTCTATACCTAATGGGAGGAAAATAAGAAAATACGAGTTATTGAAAACAATGGAATGTGTCCTGATGTATCCACAACCTTATTATAGACCTCTGCATTTTATGCTGTGTTTCTATTTCTAATATAAGCTCTTAGCAAGAAATATATTTTAGGTAACAGTAAGTAATAATAAAACTGTTGTAAGTAGCAGTATTTACCAACAAAAAATTTTTAAGTAGCTGTAAGTAACCATAAAAACTTTTGTGAGTAGCAGTGAGTAACAATAACATTTCTGGAAGTTTTTTCTTTTTGGCAGTAACTAACCATGAAAATTTTTGTAAGAAGTATGTAACAATAAGAACTTTTTAAGTCGCAGTACGTAAACATAAAAACTTCTGTAAGTAGCAGTAAGTAACAATAAGATATTTTGTACGTAGCAGTAAGTAACAATCAGAAATTTTGTAAGTAGCAGTGTAGCGGGCCAGATATTGGCCTCGTTTTGTGTACTAGGTTTCAAGCCGCCGCACTCCTCGAAAGAAAACTGCCTAGAAAAATGTACAAGCGGAACTGTCTGCGGATGTAGTCTCACTCTAGTAGGCAGCGACTTTATCATTACCATTGTTGTGCCTATCTCTGCTGTATTAACGTTCTTCGTCATCTGGACCTCTCAAGTGTAATTGTATTTTGCGTTTCCAAATAATTACTGCAAATCTCTTGAGTAAACATTGGCCTGAACTTTATCCTTAGTTCAGGCCAATGTTGACGTCCGCGTATATTAGTTGTTTCAATTGTCCACGAACCCTATGGACCCGCTGGCAGAGACCTTGAAAGGTTTAGATGAAGTAGTTTCCCGCTACAGCAGTAAGTAAACATAAAAACCTTTGTAATAAGCAGTGAGGAACAATAAGAACTTTTGTCAGTATCAGAACAAAACTCCAAAAGAGCATCATACTTTCTTCGGTGCTTCGTTGCTATGTTGTCAATCCTATCAGAGTTGTGGCAATTACAGGATAACTACAGCCCTCATTTCCCAATTCTATACGATACTCGATCGAATAAAAACATCAGACCATTATCGATAACTGACATTCTATCACCTTTGAAGTTATAATTACTACCATCTTTTTTCGTGAAAATCCCTTCGATGCATAGGTAACTGTCTGATGGTAGTATAAACTGATCTTGATACCGAATAATAAACTTGCTTTCATTGCGTTCACGATTTAAATCGGTTCTAATTTGAGGCTCATAATCATGAGTTTCATCAACATTATGAATTGATTCATCAATTCATATCCATTCAATTGTATATCCTGGGGGAACATTGGGAAGAAATGTGTACACGATATAGTTAAAATCACCATTGAGATACGATCCTTTGATTATACTGCCAATGAACAAGTATTGCATTAACAGAAATTATATTTACTATATTTGTACTTTCATGTTCTACAACACTTTCCAACACTCCAGTATCAAAGCCTAACAGAGTATGTAGACTGTTGAGTTTGCTGAAATAAATTTTCAAGTCAAAATCACGATTAGTTATTACACATTTCAGAGTATTGGTGTTCGATCTTATATCAATCGAGTACTCGTTTCCGTATGCATTTTTGATAATCTTATTCATACTCTCTATCTCATAGCATCCGGTCGGTATAGTTATAGGGATTACTATATCATGTTTCCCAACAGAAATGTTATACAGAAATATATATTATATTATACATATTATATGAGACAAATAATATAATATTATAATATTATATTATTTGTCTCATCGATATTCGGGATGGAGTGACACATATCCAATTCCACCAATGCCATTCATGAAATTTGTTTGTATCCAATTTTATTGGTGGCGTGAAATTCGTGTCGTATATCACTGTTTCCACAGGTAATAACTAATTTTTGTAATTCAATTTTCTTAAACAAAAATCATTCAATAGTTTAACATCACGCTCAATAAATAAATTTTGTTTATAAAGCCAAATAACAATTGATGTCCTGCAACAGTATCATTGACGTTAGTAGCTAAAACTATTATTCCTGATCCTGAAACATCTGAATCAATATCTGGTCTTGATTCCGGAGCTCGATCCCTAGACGATGTGGGACATGCAGCTTTTATTCTAGTAACTTCATAGCATTAATTTTATTTCTGCATCACTTTATAGAGTGGTTGGATGAATTTGTTGTACTTCTCTCTTTTGTTTGCTTTTATTGTTCCATCCGGCTTGAGATGAGCCTTAGTCTGTCTCAAAATCGTTAGATAATTTGCCACATAATTTTCTTCATATTTTTCATGGGATTGTTTTATTAGTAGCTCCCATAACCCAACAGTTCCTTCATAGACTTCATTACCAATCCCTAAATCATTACCTTGGATGCTGACAATTATTGTATCTCCTAGCATAATGTTTTTACCATCAAATTTAATGCCATAAGCTCTGTCATACTCAGATCCAGGTTTGAACGCTAGATTTTAAAAAGTTTCAGCTATTGAACTAGCTAATCCTTTTCAGTCGGATTTTTTTGAGTCTGGTAGATTTAATGCCAATTTTTTAGCAGATTTGTTTGTTAATAGTTCTCTGGGAGCATCTTTCAGAGCTAACCATTTTTGCTTAGTTTCTTCTACCATTTACTGAGAGGTTCAATTAGAGGCTTATATAATTTTTTAGCATCATTGTATAAGTCTTATTCCGCAAATTTTTCTTGTGTGAATAGTTTTTTAAGTCGCTCTTTAATTTTATAAAATCTTGTTTTGTTTTATATCAATTCACGTCATTTTATTAAGTAAAATATCTCAAACAACTTGAACTCAATGTCTGTTCATTTTGAACTCAATGTGTGTACATTTTGAACTTAATGTGTGTTTAACCTAATGTCAGTTCAACTTTGTTAGTTCAGCTTCTGGAATATCGAGATGGGTCATCATATCCCTTCCATTTAACTAACAATTTCCCTTAATTTTTTTCAAAATTTTATCAATTTCATAATATTTTGATAATTCTTCGTAAAAACTCCCTATTACTTCTTTACCGCTCATATCTTCCAGCCTATAAGTTACTGGTTTCGTCTCTAATATTTTAGAGATGATAAATAACTCACGTGTGAAACTAGTGAGATATCCTTTATAAAATTCTTACGTTTTCTACTAATTCAGACACTATCTCCAATCTTCAATTTAGTCTTTCTTACAGCCGTCTTTATTTCGGGGAATAAATTTGCATAGACTATTTTACTGTTTTGTTTTATTGAAGTTCCACATGGAGTCATTTTTATTGATCTATGATAACTACTGTTATAATTATCAACTAAATCTGGTAAAATATCTACCCACTTTTTTGTCTTGGGGTACGTGAAATATTTCCATAGTTTTGTCTTGAGAGTTCGGTTAAATCTCTCAACAACTTGAGCTTTAGTTTCATTTTCAGTTGCAAAACATTGAATTTCAAACTTTATGAATAACTATTGTGTTAGCTTGTTAATGAACTCTAGACCTTCGTCTGTTTGAATTTTTCAGGTAATTCGTTCACTGAAAAGCTTTTGGAAAGAGGTTATAATCTCTTCACCAGTTTTTCTTCGAATAGGAACTGCCCATGCATGTTTGCTAAAGATGTCAATCACAGTTAGGATGTGGTTTCTACCTTTATCTGTATACTTTTGCATGTCAACTAAATCTGACTGCCATTGATCATAGATCTTTGTTACTTTGACTTTTCTTGTGATGAAATTATATTTTATTGGTTGATGTACCTTGTAAAGTGTACGTTTCCTCTAACTCCAAATTAATTTCATCACAAGAAGAGTTAAAGTAACAAAGATCTATGATCAATGGCAGTCAGATTTAGTCGACATGCAAAAGTATACAGATAAAGGTATAAACAACATCCTAACTGTCGTGAACCTAAGACTTGCTTTCGAGATAAACCACTCCCACGAACAAGTTCATTTGTCCCCACATAGCTGGGTTTAGGATCGTAAAATATTTTATTTAGAATTTTACTACTCACTTTTGTGAATGGATTTCTACGTTTTTAGATACTTTAAGACCAACATAACATTTTCCAGCCATTATAGCATTAACTAACTTTGCATCAGTTCTAACATATTCAGGCTCATTAGGATCTACCGCAATTTCAGCCGCTTTCTTCGCTAGGATATCATCAGACTTGTTTCTGTCTTTAGTTTTTGAATGTGTACTATAAAATATATCATGCTCTCTACAAGCTCTATCCAATGAATTAACTCCCTTATAACCTTCATTCAGTCTTTTTTGCACCTTAGTGCCAGGACCACAGAAGGAGTATGTATGCTTATTATTGAAAGAACCGTGGAGAACTTGCTCAGATTGAATGTTGAAGGTTAATTGTAAATGAATTTCTGGAAGTGGCTATTTCTCTAATATCGTATTAAAAATGCAACTCCCAATTTTTTCACTACGAAGAAATGATTTTAGCTGGTTCAAATATTCACAATTATCGATCGATAGTAGATCAGGATAGTTGATTAATGTTCTTTTATTGTAGACTATCATTTTTAATAGATTATTTTATAAACACTTTTATCAGCTTGCATTACAATGGTTTAATGCTAGCGTATTTATACCGTCTGCTAATATACGTCTTTTATCATCGTCAACATTCACTGCAAGTTTATTAATTTCTCTCGTATACAATTCATGATTATCATTCTCTATATTATACATTGTTTTGTATATAGTCTCATTATTTAGTGCTCTCATATATTCATCCTTGGTAGTATTCCTTTCAATAATATTTTTCTTTATACCATTAGCTTTTTTAGTTACAGAACATTTTGTTCGATAACTATACAGCTTTGCTCGAAGACCTACAAATTCTTTTATGGGAATGCCGCTAGTTTCATCTTTCATTTTATCGATTACTTTTTTGTTCTGATTTGAATATATGAAATGATCCTATGGATAATTCGAAGTGTCAAATAAGTCATGATTATCCCTCATATCTTCATAGAAGTAAGCGGTTTTTATGTTTAATATCAAAATGAACCAAACCAAAATCTCATGTGGAAAGACGGTTTGTGAAGCCGCGTTCAGCCACAGCTTACCATGAGCACGGAAAACCTACACCTAATTTACAATTTCGTATACGGTTGTTCAGAAATTACACAATTTCATTTCGGTATAGTTTTGTATGCATTGATATGCTAAATAGTGTTTGAAAATGTAGAGTTGCTTGTAACCACGTGTCCATCTTCTTGACTCAAGGAAACGATGCAAGCAAAAATGTGATTGTCTTACATGACCATCGCACCCGGAAATGTTTTCTTTCGAGATGGCCGGCTAAGGGGTAAATTGAAGAGCAAAATTCATAGCACTGTACATTGCACAGTGCAAAGCTCAGTACACAGCACAGTGGACGGTGCATTGCAAAGCATGGTGTTTATTTCTAAGATAGAATCTCGCGAAAGTTATTATAAATTATTCAGTCAACAGAAAAAAGAATAGATGAGTTGAAACAATGTTACAAATAAAATAAAATCCGGTTTGGTTGGGAACCCCGGTTATCAAGATTAAACCTAAAATTTGTTTTTGCCTACAACGTAAATTTTTGCTGGCAGAAAGCTCGTCAAGCATCAAGACTCAGGGACGAGAAATTTGTTAGCATGGTACTAAACCTTTTTTGTAACATTTTTTTCGCACCGCATGGGTGCAAATGTCAGTTGAGAAACTAGCGAACTGCTGCTTGCCTGACTACTGTCTTGTCTGACGTCTGCTGCTCTGCCTGACGTCTGCTGCCTTGCCTGACGTCTGCTGCCTTGTCTGATGTCTGCTGCCTTGCCTGACGTCTGCTGCCTTGCCTGACGTCTGCTGCCTTGCCTGACGTCTGCTGTCCTGCCTGACGTCTGCTGCCTTGCCTGACGTCTGCTGCCTTGTCTGATGTATGCTGCCTTGCCTGGTGTCTGCTGCCTTGCCTGACGTCTGCTGCCTTGCCTGACGTCTGCTGCCTTGCCTGACGTCTGCTGCCTTGTC